TCCTTATTAACAGAATTATAGACTACTGGACTTGTTTTTTTCTTTTCAGTTTTTATTTGAAGAATAATTAAGCAGTCGGGTTATTTGATTTTTTTAAATTTACCTTTTTTATTTCACACTTTTTAGTTAGTATTTTAAGACGGTATATAAAGTAGTCTTGTTACTTCAGTAAGGGAATTAATATCGCGGGAATTATTAAGTACCTTGTGTCGGTCTAAAAGATTGATATATTAAGACATATGAAGACTTTACCAGCGGGGTCAAGGCTACAGATGGGCCTCAATTTTCGCAAAAATGTGTGAAGTTAAATCAAGTAGCTACATAAATATCTCTTGTAAATTTTATAGTAAACTAGCACTTACTCAAAAAGTCATCTTTTGTTTATGTTTTGTTAAATAGTTTAGCAGTAAATATAAAATTCATTTACTTTTATTCGTCGACTATTTAAAAATGGCAGTGGCTGCATTGTCATGTCAATGCCGGACGTCTAAGATTGTGATATACACAAATTTAGTGTCAGTCCCTAGTCTCATAATTTGATATACCTACATAATTCACAGAAACACAATATGTAGATGCCAGAAGTTAACTTCAAATGTTTTTAATCACCCCATATACAATACCAATCAATGACGTTTATGTCGCAGGTTGAAGAAAGCAGTAATTTTGTTTTGGACAATGGTGGAAAGTGCCTTAGATCACTAAGTTAAATAATTATGCAATCACCAAAGCAAAGTTTATAATATTTGATTAAACTAAAGGCGCATAATAAAACTTTCATAACGTTAGGTAGAGCACTATAGCAATCTCATTTATTATCAATTCATAGTTCTCTTTGTAGTTTTCTTTTAAAGCGTTCACATTTAACAGGTCAAAGACTTTGTGTTCGACCCTTTTTTATTGGTAGTGTTTAATTATTTTCCAATTTTTTTTTCTTATAAAAATACCGAATAACGTATCACTGTTAAGCACAAATACTAAGTAACTTTTACAAATATAATCAAATAAACCTATTACTTACTTTATTTTTAAATATTTTTCATCAATTAAATACTTATCTTATCCTAACTATCTATACTAATATTATAAAGAGGCAAGATTTGTATGTTTGTAACAAATAATCTGTCAAACTACTGAACCGGTTTCAAATATTAATTCATCATAAGGTAGCTACATTATTTATTATAACATTTTTCTTTATTTAAATACATTTTGTCCGAGTGACATAGGCTATATTTTATCCCGATAAATAAATTTCGCCCGTACAATGCCCGGGTGGATCACTAGTAAGTATAATATAATATTATAGATGCGAAAGTGAGTTTGTTTGTTGCGCTTCCGTGCCCTAATAGCTAAATCGAATTTAATGAATTCCCATATAGAAGTAGATGGAAACTTGGTTCTTAGCTACAACATCGCAATACTTATAGGCGTAGGGTGAAAGGGGTGATTTACCTATAAAAATCTACATTATTTACTTTGAATTTTGCATACTTATTACAAAACCAATATTATCGCGAGCTGATTAATAAATACAGGAATTTCAATAAGTATGTACTTACTAGCGAAAAATGGGTTATTTGTCATTATATTAAGTAAACCTTTTTTGTAACCTTAAGTAATATCGTTAAAAAAAATGAAAAATATATCTAATCATAATATATAATCATAAATACCTATTATAATAATATATTTTTCATCATTTAATAAGAAGGAACTGTATCACAGTTTTAATGTTAGTACTTCATATAGGATCAGATACTGCGAATACCCCATTTTTTTTCTTTTACATAGTACACCGCGCTATCACTTTGTCATCGTTGTAACTTTTTAAATATTTGTCGAAATGACATAGTGTAAAAAGCAAAGTGTATCTTCTTTAAATATTAAAAGCGATTAAAGTATTTGTTTTGATAAAAAATGATTTGTTAATACAAATTTTTGGAAATAGATATCAAATAATATTTTAGTTTTGATTCACTATTTTAGCGGTAATGACACATTAAAAATAGATATATGGTGTCACGGACTTCTTTTTAGATCTATTTAAGAGATACATTTTCACTCTACATTCCATTCATGTAACTTTTATTGTTTTTGCAGTGCAGGCCAAAATGACTCGCAGATGGGACATTTTTTTCCGTCTTATGTGACACTTATTGCTATATATTGGCCAATTCACTCAATAACTACATAAATTATTATATATATGTAATTATCATATATGAGCTATATTACTGTTAAGTTTCATTAAAATCCATTCAGTATTTTTGAGGTGAAAGAGTAACAAAGATCCATACAAACGTAAGATTGAAATTAAAAGCGTAAGTGGTTAATATACAACTTTAAAGCGTTGTAGATCCTAAACAATCATATAAAATGAAAGATGGTGTTAGGAACCTAAATATGATTTTTGATTATATAGACAGTGATACCGCATTCGACATATTTTGTCAACTTTTTTTTTTTACTTCGTCACAATATGGCGCCTAATTTTGCCCATATTGAATTTTGATTACTATCATATCTTTAGTAGCACTCCCATGATTGAGACGAATCGATTGATGTATGAATCATCAAAATCGGTCCCGGCGTTTGGTCTCTAGTGTGCCACAAAGGAACAAACATACATATATAGACTGTTAAACACATAACCCTGTCTGCGCGTCGCGCTTCGCGCTCTTGCATTGCGCAGCCGGGTAAAAACGCCGGGTTGCACTATGGGAGTGCCGGCAGAAGTAAAAACTTGAATATTAACGTTGTGCATTTTTGATATTTTGGAATGGATAGGGAATTAATTTTGCACGAATTGCTTTAATTATCAGTATAAAAGTACTATCATTTATGTGGTAGAATACAATATTTATTTATTGCGCTATCGTACACAAACATGATAATTTATATTATATTAAAAACCTTATCGCTCAGAAAAATCAACTTACATGAATCACAATTAAGCGCACCTAGCGACATCTATTGTAAAAAAATGCATTTTCTTCGCAATAAAGTTGCCACATGGACGTCCTAATTAGAGACTTATTATTATAGTACGATAAAATAAAATATTACTATGTTTCGTCCAATATATTGAAAGTCAACAACCTTTCCAATTTTATTGTTTTCGTCTTACGAATTTTCGATTAGGTCACGTGTCCGGACGCGATCAGGCCACATGTCATGACGCGATCAGGCCACGTGTCCTGACGCGAGTTTAACAGTTTTTACCCATTACAAAAAAGTGTACAACGCCGCTAAAGAAGTTTTCACTTCAAAAATACATATAGCAACCGATCCGCCAGTGCGTTTAATATAAAAAATTTAAGAAGATACTATGCGATGCGTTGCGGCCTGCCTTAGTATTCACGAACCTTAACACTACTATGACATTCGGACCGATTCGTGTATAACGCTAACAAACATATCCAGGCAGTCTGTAACTGTAAAATGCCTCTGCTACACACTATGCACATAAAAATACGAAATGTAAGTGTTGGACTTCGAAAAGGCATTATTATGTAACCTTTACTCCTTATAAATAATTAGAAATATAAAGGTATCTTATCCGTTTTGATAGTCTTTAATAATTATGCTATGTATTCATTTAAAAGACTACATTTCATACAACTCTTTAATATAGATCGGACTAATTATTAAAATTATCTGAAATAAGCCACGTTGCTGAAACCACTCAAACTTTTAAGTCTAATTGAATCTTATTTCAACAAATTTCAATGTAAACTTTAAAAAAAACAAACATTCATAACGATTACAAAATGCTCATGCCATTTAATAAGTACTTATAACAAAATTCATCAATACCTTATCAAATTATCAAATCGCAATACAGATTCTATATCAGTCTTTCTACACAAATAAATAGATAAACAGATTCAGAACCAAACAAATGTTAGCGGTCGATCATTGTGACCCAAATAAAGTAAATCCGAATAGCTTAGCTTATCGCATTGTATGTGGTAGACCCTTTAGTCACTGTCACCGTTAATTCAAGTCGTTTGTTACGAGCCAACGGCAATTGTGGTGCCTCTTTACTTGACCGGTGTTCGCATGACATGCGAGCAGTTAATACGAGATTGTTATAACTGTTCACTGCATTTTTCTTGCAAGGTCTAGTTAGTAAATAAACGGCAATTTACTGGCAATATAATAGAACATTCTTTACGCCCCATTCCTCTATGGAAGAGCAGATGCTGATGACGTCACCACATTTGGCATTGATTAAGTCAAAAGATGGTCAGACAAGGCTTAAAATATTTCCGAAACTATCACAGGCTTTTAGATCTACATTTAAAGTCATTTAGATATTGAGATATTACCTGCTGCCAGTCTTTCACAGTGGACTATTTTCCGTCTATGGAGTATTATACTGTGGATAATCCACAGTATAATACTCCATAGACATTTCTCCGCAGCCAAAAAATATGTCCATAACGAGTTGTAGGAGAAAAAAAATTTGGACGATTCAAAAGAGTTGTACTATACATCCAATTTGAATTAAGATATTATGTGATATCAGATTTCTGACTAAAATTGAGAGGAAATAAAAAAAAACCCAGACATTTAGAGGCGACTGAACTTACGGAACTTTATTAAAACTTTATGAAGACTTCCGTTGGATAATTTTCGTGATGCTCTTTATGAAATAATCTAATTATGAACTTTGAAAGAGACTCGGAAATTCCGAAAGCGTATTGATGTCTGTACCTAGATACTGTAATAAGTAAGATAAATTTTAAACAAAATGGCATTCTTACTTTCAACGTACTCATACTTTAATTAATAGAAGTAGTTGTGATATAATCGATTTCATTAGATATGCAATCAAATAATACAGTCTATAAGCGAAGAATTCTTGAAAGTTGTATTTTCCTGCAAAATCATTATTTGAACACAATTTTTGCGGAAACTAGTGCTCATTTACGTAGGCCTACTCGTGACATTGATTTGTTTTGTAAAAATTTATATATTTAAAACATAATTACCTGATAAAGCTTAATAATATGAGGATGATCCAGCCTCTTCATGATGTCAACTTCTCTGTATACTTTCTGAAGATTGCTGGCATCTAATTGGGATTTATCTATTATCTTAATTGCTACCTGTAACAAATAAAATTACTTTTATGAATAAAATACCACATAAAACTATTGGTTGTGCCACAAAAAACTTAGTCAGGCATTCATCACGAGAAAGAGCTCGTTGTTTTACACATAGTTAATGTGACTATTAGTTAATGTCACTTCAAATACATAGAACAATGTGTGAAATGTTGACAATAGTTGCTTTTACTAACGTATTTTACTTAAAGTCACATTTAACTATGTCTTGTTATAAGAAGAAACTTCCCAATAAAAAAAATGTTGAAATATGGTTAAAAACAGTGTCCAACTTTTTTGTGGTAACTACAACCCTAAGTTTTATTTTTTTGTATAGAGAAGACGATTGATATTAAAGCATTTTCGAAAATTGACACCTTATGCTGCAGTCTAATTGTATCGGACTTCTTCGGTTTTTAATGCCCTCATAAATGCATATCACTGATGATGGTAACGGAACAACAACGTTAGATTTCCAGACAGACAAAGAGGAATGACGTCAAACGAGCGTCATTTCTGAACGATTGAGCCAATTGACGTGATTGGCCCCGCAGCCAGTCTTCCCGCTCGCGCCGGGAAAAAAGGAACACCCACTACACTATACGGAACAAATGACGACCGAAGTAGAAACTCTTGGAATCGGAATATTTCTTCTATTCCATAGTAGTTTATAACAACTTCTTCGTAACGTTTTATATAACATCTATTGATTAAGTTTATAAGGTAGGTACTAGCGGCCGCCCGCGACTTCATCCGAGTTAACTTTAGTTTTTTGATAATCCCACAGGAACCTTACATTTTTCGGGATAAAAAGTCTCCGGAATTCTTTGTCTTAATCCGTACAGCCGTTTTTAGGGTTCCGTAGTCCTGATAAGGAATTCTGATAGTTTCGTCATGTCCGTCTGTCCGTCCCCGGTTTTGCTTGGAGACTATTAGCACTAGAGGGTTGTAACTTTGTGCAGATATGTATATCAATCACGCCGACTAAATGGTAGAATAAAATTTTGATATTTTTTTTTGGATATCTCCCCTACATTTTACCTGGGGATGATTATTTTTTCATCATCTACCTCATCGAGTGGGATATCGTTGAATAGGCCCTTTGAAATTAATTAGGGGTTCCTAAGACTTTTTTTTGGGTGATTGAAATATTAAACTTAAAAGTGCTAATTTTTGTTCAAGTAGGGCGTCCCCTGCTGTAAAAGCTACACTATTGGCTTGAAATTTTCCTGATAACAGTGCTTTTTATTAACTTTTAAGGAAAACTATACCGATTAAGATAGATTACTTTGAGAGTAATAGTCGTTTAACTTTGGTTAAGGAAAATTTCTTACCTGTTGAAAATTCCTAAGAAAAAAACATAAAACTACAATAACTTCATCTATGTCACTATAATGGTAACAATCCCTTAAATAACATAAATTGCTATAGCGTGTACTTTGTATCTAGAACACGCCGAGCACAGAATTTACAGCTGACGTACATCAGTGTTAGTTAAGAAAAATAGTATATAAGATGTAAATACAAATTAAATACGCTCTTAGTTATCCATTTTGACTTGTTTTTTCTTTTCAGATTTTATTTGAAGTAATATTAGAGCAGTCATGTTTTTTTATTTTTACCATTTTTTAAAGTCATTAAGTTAACATAAAAACTTTCACATTTATGATATTAGTAGGGATGCTGTCTACAAACCAAAGTAGCAGTTCAGATGATAAAAATAATTTTAAAGACAATTACTAATGTTCTCATGTCTTATCTTACCTGATTGACTTTTGTCTGAGTGCTTAGATAACTGTTATGTTAGAAACCTGTTATTTTACTCTCATCTTGCCGATTTCCCAACTCCATCAAGTTTGATGACCTTACTCTCTGTATGCAGTTTCCATATAATTTTACCTTTATATCAGGAGACATGAACAAACCTCTAAAAAAATCCAAGACCTTAATATAACGCATAAATTGACAAGTATCCCACATGTCAATTTAAGCGTTGTTTCGCAATGTTCCTTAAAATGAAAATTTAAGCGTTCAATAGAGTAAAGAAGAAAAACCATTATTTTTTGACTGATTGATTGTGCAATAAAGAAGAATGATAGTAATTTTATTTAGCGACCACTGACGATATATTATTATGTTTTGACTCGGACATGGAGAGTCGTAATATAACATGCGTCGTGCAACTATCACTGAAGTCATATAATCCGTATTTATCATAATCATTAACATTTATGTTCTTACTGCACAGCTCTTCATTGGTATGGGGATGGGGAGGGAACTGTTTTCAATTACAAGCCGTAGTAGTAATGCTATTTTATTGTGCGGAGCAATATTGTATTTTAATGTTTTTTTATTAGTTATGTTATGATAAAAGAAAACAGAGGTACCGACGAATTAAGAACCTCCGTCGTTTTTGGAAGTTGGTTAAAAGTAGAGATGAAAACTTAAAAATGACCCTAGTAAGAAATAAAAATACATATATGGGTTGATGCTTGGCAGGTAAGTTCTCCTCTTATATCATGAATTGAGACAAAAAGTCTCACCTACAAATAGTTTTAATAGTTTTATATCTACTCCACTGATTAATTATCCTCACGTTATTACTTAGGTATTTTTATTATTATTGTAACATATAAATGAGTTTCTTTTTAGGGTTCCGTACCTCGAAAGGAAATAACATAACCCTTATAGGATCGCTTTGTTGTCCGTCCGTCTTTCCTTTTTCTCAGGAACGCGTGGAGGTATCAAGCTGAATTTATATCAAATACAGGTCCACGGTCCCTTAAAGCTGAGAAAAAATCTAACTCCTAAGCCAACGCAATCAAAAGATACAATCCTTTATGCCGCAAATTTTCGAAACTCGCAAGGGAATCAAAACCTACAGGGTACTTCCCATGAACTCAGTATCTTGAAATTTGGAAAAAAGCAACGTCTTATAACACAGATAAAGGAAAAATTGTGAAAACCGTAAATTTTTAGTAACGTCACTTTTTTTCTAGTAAACTTTTTTTTTCTAGTAAACTTTTTTTTAGATTTAAACATCTAGCAGTTAAATGCTTAAAAATAAATAAAATCATAACATCACTTTTTTTTAATAATTATTATATTCTTACAGTTTTGTACGGAACCCTCGGTGCGCGAGTCCGACTCACACTTGGCTTTATTTTAAGTTTTCATGACTACATAGCTACAGTCACACACATCCTATTCGATATCGAAATGGTTTTATTATTTTATCACTACTGTTGCCGAATACATTTTTGAATAAACCCATATTTAATTTGCATAACTACGTGACTCTTTGTTCCTTATTTCCTTAAAAAAAATGCTGTATCTACCACTTACTTGTTTTTGAGGCAAAGTAAACATTTGAGCAGTACCGTCTACCATTTATTTTGTAGAGAGAAATTCGCACCCTAATTACTTATTCAAAGTAAAAATCTAAAAACATTTGCTTTGGAGAAACGTTTATTTACAAATATATGGCAGCTTTTGTCACGAGACTTCGTTGGCATCGTATGTGCTATGCGGCACTACAAAATAGTGGTTATTCAGCTGCTGCCTTCTTTAAGATGGAGGTCACTGCCTCAGACTGGTTATTTAATTGAAGGCATACTCAGAGACAGTCTTAAGTAAATAAGCATGACAAAGAGACGTTCAGTCTCATTCTATTGTTATCGCACAAAATTAAAGCATCAAGTTCAATCAAACTTAAAAAAAAACATACTTATCTGGATACAGCCGCGTAAGTAAGTAAAGTTCAACGTAAGTAGTTGGATTAAAGGAAAAGTGATTGAGGAAATTCATCAATCTGTATTATCTGACTAATTGGCAGTATGATAAATTACCGGTAAGTATATCAGAGTTCAAGTTGAATAAGTGAAATCTGTGATGTTATTAATAATTTATTATATTACACTTATCAACGAAATTGAAGCTAAACCAGCTAAACTAACAAGATAAATACAATCACTAGAGTTATGAAAGCATTATAACGTAGGTACCCATCATTATAAACAATAACACTGACTGATAATGTATGTTTAAAACATGATAGAAAACAGGATACATTCGAATTGCCGGCTGCGTGAGTCGGTCGGTTGGTTTGTAGCGTACAGCAGCTGTTCAGCAGCAGAACGGTTAATATTCAACTTTAGTGCTTAGCTCTAAAGTTTAAAATCAGTTGAAGGATTTTGGAATTTTGTGATAGCCTGACGCGCTGGTTATTGTACGTCCGTAGATACAATACGAACTGCCGGTCAGCGGCGCCGACATTGACCCGTTTGTTGTTGCGATAGCGCCGCCGCCGCTGCCGCTACACACGCATCTTTACGTCATTCTCACTTGAGAGACCCTCCGTCCTCGGTGCCGATTTCTAAACATATTGAAAACACTCACAATCGACCCACATCACAATAAGAACGGGGCTATCAATCGATGTGTTGTCTTCAAATGTTATAAAATGCACGCGACTCTAGCATGATTAGCTAAGGCTAAGGGTACTAAGGTACCCTTAGCACAAACCAATGTCATTGTCTAATGTATACTGATTTTTAGTTCTCGTTACATCCGTAATGGCGCTGCTGTTCAAGTTTCCATACAAAATTTGACATTGACATTTCGCATTCGCAAACTGAGTATTCGATAATGGTTCGTGCTACGGGTGCTGATCTCTAAGTTTAAAACTAAATGTCATAATATTATGTCCTTACCATGATCCGTGGAGAATGAAAACTAAGAGAGACTGATATCTTAAATAATTTTTAGTTTAGATTATTATGCCAGATTTAAGCCGAATGTGTAGTAAGTCAGTTTAGTTAAAGTATAAGCATCAGCGGAATGTCTATCGGGAGATTGAACCTCTAGAGAAAGACAGTCAAATAATACCTAGCTTAGTTTAATGTTTTATTACTGCAGTGAATAAATTGTGATTATATCACGGGGTAAGAGAGCAGGGGTCAGAAATGACCACGAACGAACTTAAAATTGAACGCCCAGCGTAG